CCTGTGACTTTTTCTTGTTCCCGAAACTGAAGAGGCCCATGAAAGGACGACGCTACGCTACGATTGAGGAGATAAAGACGGCATCGAAGGAGGAGCTGAACAAGATCACAAAAAATGATTTTTTGAAGTGCTTCGAGGATTGGAAAAAACGTTGGCACAAGTGTATAATATCTGGTGGGGATTACTTTGAAGGGGACAAAATAGATATTCATGAATAAATAAATAATTTTTGAAAAAACACAAAATTCGCGATAATTTTTGAACACACCTCGTATATATATATGGTAATATTTACTTAGATACAGAAAATATTTAATCTAGGGCGATATTTACTTAGCTACAAAAAGTTTATGGAAATCAAGATGAGGAATTTTCAGGTATCTTTTTTTGATAGCGATAGGAATTTTATATTTTCTCTGTAGTCAGATTTAAAAATTATATCATTTATATTGTTTAAAAAATTTCCCTTCCACATTAAAAATTATATCGTTTATATTGTTTAAAAAATTCCCCTGCCACATAATTTTTATTATACTACGCATGCATTTTCTCCCTACCACTTTTCTATTTTATCTTCCTTCTTATAAATTTTCTTGAAAATCTTCGCTCACTCGTCTTTCATCGCTCGAACTTTCAAGTTTGTTAGTAAAAAGATAGTTAGTTAGTAAAAAGTTCTCTATTTTTCGATTTTACCGCGTCTTTGATTATTAAATCTTTGATTTTCTACGCGGTGGCAACTACCATGAACAATCTTAAGAAAATCGAGCAACAACCGCGCATGTTGCTGTCAACAACATACGGATTAAATTCATCCTACACGACGAAAATTCAAGTGGGTCTTATGACAGAAGACAACGTCGAACTGGATTTTCTGCCTGCTGTTAAATTAACATCTCACGGAGCTGCAGGGATTTGCTTCGACATGAAATCGTGGCAAAAATTTCAAGAAAACATGGATACAATGTCGCACTACTTAAACAGTGATAAAATTAATTTGAGCTCGATCATCTTTAACAAGATAATTATAAATTTCACTACCGCATATGGTGCTAGAGCTATACTAATAACGTATCGTGAAAACGAGCAAGAAGATCTTTCTTCCGAAACTGCGGAGGATGCAAACGCAAACGGACCGAAGGCGAAGAAACGTAAAACTTACAACATTGCGATAGTCATGCAGAAAACGACTTTTCAAGGTATAGAAAATATAGTTGATTGTGTGAACGCTAATTTAAATCGCCTAAATTTTATTTCAATTAATGTCAACAAATGTGCTCGATATTTAATTAACGAAATACAGTTAAATCTTCCTGTCAACGGTAGAATCAATAACAGTATCGTGAAACTCACGATCAGAGGTAACAGTAAGGAAATAGAACGTAATGTACGCACCCAGCTGAAAGATTTAATATTTCTCGATGTATACTTTGAGATAACATTTTTAGAAATAATTTCACTTTATTTCGAACAAATTGTACATGCAATCATAACAAAACGTAAATCTTAATAATTATTCGACGAATATTTTCTTGAAATGTTTGTGAATAATTTTGTTCTGTAAAAATATTTTAAATATAAACCATATTTGTACTTTTAAAACCACTGTTCGATTTTCTTTCACTTCCTCTTTCCAGAAATTTTCTCAACGTGCATGTTCCTGTTCACCTTTATTAAGCCGCGCGTTATTTTTAAATAAAATTTTATCTGCCATCTTTTCAACAATAAGCATTCTTTCTAATCTACGATAATGTATTTTTTTTATCGTGACACGAGTCAGAATGCTTGCCTGAACAAATATTTGCGTGTTCTTTTTTTTTTATTTTTTTTATTACCCTACGGCATCGTCAGCCACTACCTGTCACCGATCCCCGTTCGACCGTATGACGCTTTTCTTGGTCAAACTGTTTTTACCCCACCCCGCCCAATATCGGCCATTTCATTCGACGAGCTATTCTTGCCATACGTATACCCGAACCTCCATACCGTACTCTACGCAACTTTAGCTTAAATGTCTCATCAAATCCTTAGACTAGTAAGATCTCGTTTAGCTCAGCATACGAGGACCCTGCTCGGAAACGCGGAGGTTCCGGGTTCAAATCCAGAGAAAATCAGAAAAATAAAAAAAATTCTCATTCCAAACTTTCGGGGCCAGTCGCCATTTTTTTCCCCCAACACTCGTAGTCGGAAAAACCAGACGCTGGTGATGGGGGAAAGACAAGCCACGCCCACGGCGCCAGAGAGGCTTGTGGTGGGGGTTTGTTTTGACAGGCCATACCTGCCACTATACTACTAAACAGATATGTCCACTATTTATGCTATTATTATGGTAGGAAATACTATAGGAACAAATATTCCTTTCGAAAAATTATTTGATTATGTAGAACGAGTAGACCAGGATATTTGCGACAAGAATTCAAGGAACACCAGATAAAGTTTAATATGATTGCACAAAAAATTATTTATATTTTGTAAGTTTGAATTTGTTTTTCATCATTTGAAAGTGCACTTTCATCATTACCATTTAAAAAAATATAAATTCTGTTTAATTATGAAAGAAAATAAATAGCAAATATAGAAATTAATTGCAGTTTTTATAAAATAGTAAACTTTAAATTGTTTATTTGTGTGCAGGATGTTTCCTGAAACGTTTGAAATGATTATGCAATTGATTGAGCCAGCTTTAACTCTAACAAATACAACAGGAAGAAAACAAATATCGGCAGAAAAACAATTATTAATAACATTATAGTTTTTAGCTACTCCAGATTCTTATAGGTATTTACTTTTATTCTTATACTCTAATAAAATAATAATATAATGACTATTTTAATATTCACTGCTATTACTGAAAATCTATAATTTACGTCATATACATACATACACTATAGATTTTCAGTTTTGGCAATATCAGAATGCAGTTTTTTTGTTATTTTTAAATGTAGAGTTGTGTAGCATATATATTTATTTTCGCAGATCAATACATGTCCAATTTGGTGTTGGAAAAGCAACAGCATTCAGAGCAGTAAGAAGGGTAACTTATGCCTTGCATTGTTTTGCACCAAGATTCATTCGAGTGGCCAAAAAATGAAGTGCTACACCGTACTATTGAAGAATTTGCGAAAGCAAGGTTTTCCTAATGTAATCGGAGCCCTTGATAGATCATATATTAGAATTAGAGCTTCAAAGGAAAATCCTGCTTCATACATATGCAGGAAACAATTTCATGTGATTCACTTGCAAGCGGTATGTAATGCAAAAACAGTTTTTATTCACTGCTATGCAGGACATGTCGGCTCAGTACATGATGCAAGAGTGTTGAGAAATTCTGCATTTGCAGAATTACATTGAAATGCCAAATGAATACTTTCCTTTCGATACTCATTATAGCAGATTCTGCATATGCAATTTTTCCGCATTTAATGGTTCTATTTAAAGATAATGGCCATCTCACAGCACTTCAAAAAAATTATAACTTTTGTTTGTTATCAACCAGGATGACCATAGAGCGAGCGTTTGGATTATTAAGGGTTCCGTATTTTGTTAGATTGCTTACTCCTGACTGATATAAAAAAAAAATACAAATTATATTAGCTTGTTGCGTTCTCCATAATATTTGCACTCTAAGAAATGGTGAGTTTCCAGATGTAGTATATTGTCACGTCCTGGGCTTCAAATTCTGCGCGTTTACGCGCGTTCACGAGTACGCATAGTGGAGGAAACCTGAGCAAGCGGGGCCGAGCGGTAGAACACGCGTGGTCAGGAGTAGGGGAAGAACGCGCGAGGACAGGATAACAGATGGAATACGGAGATTGGGAAGTATTTTAATAATTAAAATGTATAATTAGTTAGTACTTACTACCGTAATAATGAATATTATTAACTGATAATAAAAGGATATTATAATAAAGTTTGATAATAATTTATTTAATAAAATTTTTAAGTATTTCTCAATATCAATCGTTTAATAAGTAACAAGGTTAGTAATTATGTAAAATAATAAATACATCAATAATTATTTAAATTAGCAATTATGTAAAAATAATACAAAATCACCTAATCTGTAACAATGCTCAAGCTCGTATGTAAACAAACACAATGATAACTTATTAAATATTACGAGGCCATGTGAAACAAGCAATAAAAAATTATTATAAAACTTGGAAAAAATTTTAATTTAAAAAAAAACCAATTACAAACGTTTCGAACTATACTTAGTCTTTTTCAGTGCGCAATGAAACAATAATAATAAATAAAAAAATAAATAAAAATTCTAATAAAAAGTCGCAATACAAAGTCAAAATAAAATAAATTAGATAATTATGTCAAAATTAAAAGGCGAAATACGTTAACAATATATTGAAATTATTAAAAATAGTTCAACACGAGAAGTCCCAATTAGAAGCAAAAATCGAATTAAAATAATTTATCCGGCTAATCAATAAATATTTTAAAATTATTATTCAAACCTCAGAGTGGCACTTAAACATTACTCCAAACCAATCACTCATCGTTAGTCGGCGAAAGACTATCAGTCTGGCAATGATCATGTCCATCCTCTCCAAGTTATTTAATATTTGATATTATAAACTGAATTTAAAAAGAAATTTTATATTATAAAATAGAAATCTACTTATGTATATGTAAAAATTAAAAATTAAAAATTAAAAATTAGTTACTTGTTGCTTACAATTGTTCCGAATAAATTGAGATGACAATGCCTCTAATTGTTGTTGAACTTAGTACTTGACTGATGTCAAGTCATTTAAAAAGTTGAATAAATAGGTGTCAAGTCGCAAAACATAAACATTTTAATAAGTCTAAAAATTCGCTATTTCTTCTAGAATGTCAAAATAAGCGTTGTTGAGCAATTCGGTGTTTGTATTATTATTTATACCATGCTTTTGTTCCTTTATGTGTATCATCTCCGAGATAAGTCTTTTATAATAGTAAGATTCGATATCAAGTATTTTAACGTTATCCCAATCAAAAGCATGTTTTTTATCTACAATATGTTCAGAGACCACCGAATGCTTGGAAGAATCAAATCTAAAATTACATAGCAAGATGAAGGATTATTATAGTTATTTTATTAAAATTCCCATTTATAGCAATAAATATAATATATTAAAAGCAATAAATATATTATATATTTAAAACTTATGATTTTATATCATGAATATTCCACCGCCGACATATATTGCCTAAAATATTATTTTTAAAATCGCCAATGTTTTATTAGAAAAAAATTTCCCTATAAGCGCATGATATTATTTAATATTCTAGGCGTATTTTTAAAATATTAAATATTTTAAGAATATATATTAAATATTCTAAAACTACTAGAATATTGCTTAAATATTAAATAATATTATGCGCTTACATGGTTTATGCACAATACAATTCAAATTATAATAAATATTTTTAAAGTAATAATAATAAATTTATTCTATATAATGTATAATAATATAGAAAATATTGAAAAAAAAGAAAAAGAATTTATAGAAAAAGTGGGACGCGAACTGGCAACCTTTATACTTGTAGTTCGTTGCTAAGTCCGCTGTGAGTCGAAAAAACTAAGGAATGTACTAAACTTCACACCGCGATTTCTCATCAACGCTTGAGAGACGCATTGTCTTCAAATAATATGTATTACTTTTATATGAATACTATATTTCTACAATAGTTCAATAAAATCGGTGACCCGAAGGGTTGACACTTTTATATATTATAATTCAAGGGTAGGTGCTAATTAACGCTAAGATAGGTTGGATACGTTGATAAGACTTTTATAATCTCAAAACAATCAAATTCATAAAATCAAAGGAAGATTTAAAAATAAGGCATTTTTGACCCAGAAGCAGAATTTAAATCAACCATTGTAAACTATTTTTGAGATTCTATAAAATAAATACTTTAAATACTTTAAGCGCTACAACTTTTGTTTGAAATTTTTTTTTAAATGTATTTTATAAATGCAGTTTATAAAATATTCAATAATTTCCAAACTTTAAGCACATCCTGTAAGTGTAAAGTAAATTATGTAAATCAAAACATTAAATTCTCCACATTACTACTTATTTTTCCATATATAAGTGTATAATTGATTTTATTTTGAATAGACATCATGGCTATAAAGTTTAAAATCTTTATATGACTTCCAATAATCGATAATAAATTTTGATTTTCACAACTTTCCCCGGACCTGGTGAACAAATAATTGTTTTTTTTTTGCTTCTAAAAAATTCCAAAAAGTTTTCAGTTGTTGATTTATGTAGGTTCTGCTTTTAGGTCAAAAATAGTTTATTTTGACATCTCTCCTTAAAAATATAATAAAAGAATGGCAATTTCTTGTAGAAAGACCGCGCGCTCGAAAAACGTCGACCAAGAAGGACGATTGGCTTGCTAACACCGAGAACATCGTCGTAAAAAGCAAAATTTTTTTTTACTAGTATCTACGTCTTAAGCGTCGTCTCAAGTGAGGGCGACGTTATGTCGCCGAATTTCTTTCACAAGAGAAAACCGGTTACAAAGGAAATATTTTGAAGATTTCTGAGGATAGCTGATGAAGCTTTGGATGGAGGTTGTGACCCTGGGAAACTGCACATTTTCAATAAGACGGCGCTCTCGCTCACATCAGTCATTTAATTCAAAATTAGCTCTCTAACGTGGATATGTTTTGGTCGAAGGAGGATTTCTAGCCTTGTAATAATCCCGATCTTAACCCTCTCGACTACTACGTGTGGAGTGTAATCGAAAGACACACCTAGTCTAGACATCTCAAAGTTGTTTCCCTTCGGGCACTCATCGAAGTAGCGTATACGATTATAGATCACGAAGACATGTCGCACTTTAGAACAAAAATTTGGGAAAATTGATAGAAGCGTAAGACGACTATATTAAATAAGAAATTTTATAAATGGGATATAAAAACTTTTTTTGTATTTTTCATATTAAATAAAATAAACTTTTCCACGTAACGAACTTTTCTATAAAACATTTTTTTTATATTCTAATAGGATTATATACCAATACATCTGTCATTGACATCATGTTACTTACCTGCTATTTCCGTCCAATAATAATGAAATATTTTCGACACGTTCATTGTGTACTTCTACTCAATTCTGTGAGCAATTGATATGATTATGTTCAGTTTGTACCTCGAGAAAGAAAAGGATTTAATATAAAAAAAACTTATTGTTAGCTACAACTAATATCTAAAAAGTCAAACATTCAACACTATTCTGTCTGATTAGCTTATTGTTCTGTCTTTTATAACTAGTGAAAGATAGAACTTTGTACTTGACGATCCATGTAATTTATATGCAAATATATGTATCTTAAGACTTTATGAAAAAAAATTAAAAGTAAAATATCTTTCGGGATCAAATAAAAATGTAATAAAAAATATAAAGGCAATGAGAGCCAGCACGGTTAATGGGGCACACAAATTTATTAAATTAATAATAATATAAATATGATAATTTAAAATCAATTGATACAAAGTTTCGCTCGTATATTGTAAATACAACTAGTGATAAATAAAAAGGCCAACTTATCGAGCAATTATTAGAGTTGTTCTGTCAAATAAAATTTATTCCATGTATAAACTAAACATAAAACATTATGTAAAAGCTACAAACATTCTATACTCAAACTTAAATAAAAATTACAATCATTATAAAATAAACGTTTCAACCGCACGCGGTCTTCCTCAGTATTATATTACAGTAATTATTAAAAAATACAAAATCATACAAAAATTCCACATAATATCGAAAATTAATGTTAGTTTTTCAATAAGAGTCGAGAATTTATAAGCAATTAAAGCGTGTTTCAATCCGTCATGTCCAACAAATGTTCGCTTCGATATGATCTTTAATTTTAATCAAATCTCGAAAAGTTTCATCGTTAATATGCGAGAAATTAATACGTTCCGTAGGCGCTGCGATTAATAAAAAATTGACGATTAACGTATGTCAAAAATTAAAATATATATCCTTAACAATTAGCAATATGCTTACTTGACATCGTCCTTTTTGACAATTTTAACCACGTTTTTTTGAAAAAGTTATTGAAGATGACACAAGATAAGACCAACAATATAAAAAGACACCTCATTTCAAACTCTGCCTAGTTTATACATGGAATAAATTTTATTTGACAGAACAACTCTAATAATTGCTCGATAAGTTGGCTTTTTTATCTATCACTAGTTGTATTTATAATATTTTAAATTGGCCAATAGAGCTCAAGCGCGAAAAATTAATTCTTCGGAACTATATCTCTTGGTTTGAGATTACTAAGTTCCATATATAAATTAATCTCGAACTTACATATGGAGAAATAAGCGAGAAAAATATAGGTCCAAAAAGTCGCTGAAGAGGGAAACGAACCCTTCACTTTTCATCTTTCACTTTTGAAAAGTTGCGTTGAAAAGATGCGGGTTCGTTTCCCGCTTCAGCGACTTTTCGGATCTATATTTTTCTCGCTTATTTCTCCATATGTAAGTTCGAGATTAATTTATATAATGAACTTACAAGGGGAGTTCGAGGTTGACTATTCACCGATTTTGATCTCCTTTGGTGTGTTGAATCTATATAAAAAAAAAAGTTGATCCGTGTTCGAGCTTTTCGTCCAATGCGCCTTCTAAAAAAAAAAAATTTTTTCCTTGCATTTGGAGAAATTACCAGGTTTGTTATCAGGCTTAAAGAAAGATACACTTTCGATCTGTGCCGCTAGTCCAGTGGTAAAGCGCAAAAATAGTAATCCCGGGATCCCGCGTTTAGGACTTTGGGCTGCCATAATGTTTTTTTATTTTTTTAAATATTTTTTTATTATTTTATAACATGTATTATTTATTATGATAAATAAATATTTGGCATACTAATAATGTTAGAATAGAATGTATATTCTAACATTATTAGTATGCCGAATATTTATTTATTACAATAAATAATACATATTATATAAATATAAGTATATACAATAATAAAAAAATATAAAAAATTAAAAAAATTAAAAAAATTATGACAGCTCAAAGTCCTGAACCCGGGATTACTATTTTTGTGTTCTGCCACTGGACTAGCGGCACCGATCAAAAGCGTATCTTTCTTTAAGCCTGATAACAAACCTGGTAATTTCTCCAAATGCAAGGAAAAAATTTTTTTTTTTTTAGAAGGCGCATTGGACGAAAAGCTCGAACACTCAATTTTTTTTCGATATAGATTCACCACACCAAAGGAGATCAAAATCGGTGAAGAGTCAACCGCGACCTCCCTTTGTAAGCGAATAAACAGATAGAAAGCGGTAGGTCGGACTCGGTGGGCATGCCGGACGGCTTATTTGTTATATGTTGCTGAGTCTCAAACGTATCATCTTACTTTTCTGCGCCGCTATATTGCTCATTGTTCGCTGCATGACGCCGCCTCTCGATCAGATAATGCTTCTTTCCGCTTATTTGCTTAGATATTTTAATAAATAACTCAATAATTATTGCAAATATTGCAAAATGATACAGGACGTTTCTATTCAGTTTAACATGCTTTATCTGCCCATGAAAGGTGGGTCGCGAATTATTGAACACTATGTATAACATTTTTCATTAATATAATGCAAATTAACTAATAAAATTTTCAAAATAGTGTATGTTTAAGGTATAAATACTAATGAATGTGTATGTGTAAAGTGTAAATGCTAATAAACTATAAATATTAATAAGCTTAAAAATCTTGACTTTTGTATTTATCAAAATAGAATATGCAAAATAAAATAGATTATTCATTCAATTTAAATTAACATATTGCATGCGGTATCGAAGTTTAACGGATATTATGAGAATTTTGAATTTAAATAGGTCAAAATAGATATAATGCGACACAAATATTTTAATGCTGCAAAGCAACTTCTATTGCATTGCAAGAAAATGTACTTAAATAAATGTAGAATTTACATAAATCAAAGTTTAACGGATATTATGAAAATTTTGAATTTAAATAGGTCAAAATAGATATAATGCGACACAAATATTTTTATGCTGCAAAGCAGCTTCTATTGTATTGCAAGAAAATGTATTTAAATAAATGTAAGACTACTTCTATAAAAAAACTTACTTTTTTAAAAAAAGGTAAAAAAGAGCCAAGTAAAAATATTATATAAAAAAAACAATGTTATTTTTTAATTACTAAGAAATTGTCCCACAAAAAATTGTTCTACAATATTTAGTTATATAAATTCTACAAATTATATATATTCTACAAATTATATATATTCTACAAAAGAATTATGACATCAAAAAACTGCGCCAAATAAATAAAAATTAAAGTATATAAACAAAGTTTTATTATTTTAAATATTTAAAAAAGCTACTCAGCCATATATTTTGTATTACTTTTGCAAATTCTAATTTTGCAGATCTGATCTGAAAAATTTATCACAAAGTCACCTATGTATTTTTATGTATGATGTTATCATCTATATAGTCAAAACGATTTAGATCTTGTATTAAAAATTGATGTCATTTTAATGTCTCGACCCGGGCTAAATTTTTCGTCCTTTTAATCCTTTCAATGTCAGGTCGTTTTGACTATGCATCCTTCAAAATACAAAAGTGATTCTATATATCAAATCAAATAATAATTTGCAAAATTGATACAAGTTTATATTTGGCTGACAAGGAACGTTCGGTAAGTTGAAAATTTTAAAAATCTGAAACTCAGCACAATTTTAGAGGGTAATAAGTCTAATAACGAAATCATTTTTGTTATAGTGCTAAAAATGGGTTTAGGGGTGCAACCAATCGTCAGAAAATCTGTTTTTACATTCCGAAGCGAATATTGTCGAGACGAATAGAAATATAAAAGATTTTAATGTTACACTAAAGTTTGGATTCAAATGTACTTTACAATGGCGTATTTGGATTTTTTTTAAATAATACAATTTTTCAAACTACCCTTTTCCCACTCAATATTTTTTTATATTTTGAGAAAATTTTTAAATTATATATATTTTAAAGCTTATGTATTACGCCAAATTTAACTATATATGTATAAATATAATAAAGTTATGTTGCGGAAATTAGTTCTTGAGAAATAAAATCAAGACGAAATACCAAAGAAAAAAAAGTCTGTTACTGCTTGATTCATGGACATTATTTGGAACAATTAAAAGAATTTATTCCGGCAAACAAAGAAGTAAATATATATAATGCAAAATAAAATTTGGCTTGTGTAAAATTAAAATAAGTTATAAATTAAAAGGCCAACTTAACGAGCTAATTAATTAGGTGTTAACAATTTATTCTACGTCATAAAAATAATACAAATGATAATTAGTAAACGTTTCAACTGTACGACAGTCTTTATCAATACAAATATCGCTTTGCTAACATATTCATAAATTAAATAATTTGGAAAGACAGAACTTATCATACATGTAAAATATATAGACTTATAATATGAAAAAACGCAGTAGAACACATTATGTTTGCGCGTACGTGTGAAGGAGAGCGCGTATTTGAAGGCCGAAAAGAATTGATCACCCTTTAAAAAATAACACAGAGTTTACTTTAACACAGTTTAGACGATACTGTAATTTTACAAAAGTTCCAGTAGATAAGCCGAGATCGATTTCAAAGTGTGTGTGCGGTTAATAATTGCGGTAATTTCTAAGCGGTTTGACAGCGGTTTGTACGTACTAAGATTCGAGAGACTAGCCCCGCAATTTTGGTGGGCGCTTCTTTTATCGGTGCGGTACTGAAGCCCCACTAATTTTTGCTTCACCAATTAATTTCGTTTGTTTAAAAATGTTCGAAGGTGACGCGAGGGCGCCTGTCTTTATTGGCCGCCCCGTAATTTGCGCGAAACAAGCACGCACCTGACATGCGCGAAACGCTCGATAGCGGGATCGATTGGCTTTCGGAAGCCACGTGATCGAACGGCGCATGTCTATTACATCGATAATCAATGCGGTAATCGTTGCTTTCGGTTGAGCAATGTTGTTATTATTGACAGCTTGTTAGGATAATCCTGATTTATCGCCTACTTGTTTATATCGGGCGAGCCCTTTTTTCCGCGGTTTTTTTTTCGCATATTTATGTAAGAAAATATCGATTTTTAGACTGAAATTATAGACTTAAACAATTATTAATTTTCTTCTCAATTTTGAACATCCCGCCCGCCTTGTCACCCGCTGACAATAAGTTGCTATAAATTCTCGATAGCGATTGATAGTGGGGTAGGCGCGCGCCGGCGCGGCGAGATACACGTGATTATCGCGTGGAATGTCGCTCGATCAGCTGAAACGATGAACACGTGTTGACAGCGTGGTGCGATCAGCTGAGAATAGTGAAACGCGTTTTCGATGTGAAATAATGTGCGTGAATGTAAAAAGTGGTTACAGTGCGTATGTGATGTGTAATCAAGTGCATAGCGAATGAACGTGAGCAAAGATGTGTGAGTGATGTGACGCGTCGTGCATTTCTGTCTATGCGTTGCGTGTCGTTACGTCCGTTGCGAAGTCGGGAAGTAAGACAATTTTTACGAGCGGACGCACGAGCTCGGAGGTCGCGGTTCGAACGGTGACCACGCGTACGATCCCGTCGTCGCCGGGATGCAGTTTTGTGATCCGGGCGAGAGGCCACCGGTTTGGAGGCGAAATCTCGGAGCGCACAAGGCAGAGTGCTCCGATGCGAAGTGTTGTCTCGACCTTCAGCCATTTAGGTCGTGAGGTGAGTCCATGGATGTATTCTCCCGACCATCTCCGCCAAAAGTGGTCGCGCATCGCCTGGAGATGATGCCATCGTGATGCTACGGATCCACGGTTGTCCTCCCTGGCTCCGGGATGGCGAGAAGCGGCGCGCCGATCAGGAAGTGGCCCGGAGTTAGTGCTGTAACATCGTCTGGATCGTCAGAGAGTGCCTGTAATGGACGAAAATTTAAACAGGCCTCAATTTGTGTGAGGAGTGTGGTCAGTTCCTCAAAGGTGAGGGTGGTTTCACCTAGCACCCTCCGTAAGTGATACTTAGCGGATTTGACGGCTGCCTCCCACAATCCGCCGAAGTGCGGAGCTGCTGGTGGATTGAAGTGCCACCGTATGCCGTGTTCAGCAGCTACGCGTGCAATTCCACGACCCTCTGTGGATGCAGTGACGAAGAGCTCACGTAAAGTGCGGTCAGCCCCGATGAAGATCGTTCCACAGTCGCTATATATGTCCGTACAGAGACCTCGACGTGAGACAAAGCGACGTAAAGCGGCGATGAAGGCCTCTGAAGAGTAATCCGAGACAAGTTCGAGGTGGATGGCTCTGGACCAAAAACAGATGAATACTGCGATATAGCCCTTATAGGCGCGGTGTCCTCGTCCCTTGCTCGTCCGGATGAGGATGGGTCCTGCATAGTCCACTCCAGTGCGCAGAAATGGTCGAGTCGGAGTGACCCGATCGCGGGGTAGATTACCCATCGGTGGCTGAAGCGTCGTTGCTCGCCATCTTGTGCAGGTGACGCAACGATGTAGTTATTGTTTTACGACTGTGCGTCCTCGTGGAATCCAGAAGCGCAGTCGAAGCAGCCCCAGGGTGAGTTGCACTCCTCCATGCAGCGTCCGACGGTGACAGGATTCCACCAGCAGACGAGTCAGCCACGACGAGGTTGGAATGATCATCGGATGCCTCTCATCCTGTGTCAGCAGGGCGTTCTTAAGCCGACCTCCCACTCTCAGAACACCATGGTCGTCGAGGAACGGAGTCAGCTTGGCTAATGTGCTGCTTGGTGCGACGGAGCGTCCAGCTGCGACTACGGTGATCTCGTCCGTGAAGTGCAGTGTCTGCACTTCTCGAAGCCAACGAAAGAGTGTCATGTCAAGTTCCTCCGGACTCAACGTTAATCCAGCAGTGTGAGTCGGCTCGGAAGCGCGCAGCCAGCGACGGCACCATGCGGATATCCGTAGCAGGCGATGCAGTGATGAGAAGCGGAGCAGGATTTCTGGCTCGATGATGACCCGGTTCACAGTCATCAGGCTCGTGGCTTTCCTTTCTGGCACGTCGTCTCCTCGGATCTCCATCTCGGAGTTTGGCCAGGCCGATTCGTTCTGTGATAACCAGGTAGGTCCTGTCCACCATAGAGCGTGATTGATCAGTTCGCTTGGATTAATACCCCTTGATGCACAGTCCGCAGGGTTGTCGTGACCAGCTACGTGTCTCCATTGTGCATTAGGCAGCTGCGTCTGGATGTGAGCGACTCGATTGGCGACAAAAGTCTTCCAGCGTGAGGAGTGACCGCGAATCCACTGGAGGGTCACTGTTGAATCAGACCATAAGTATGTGTCTGATGTTGCCTTGCTTTTGGCCATCAATAACCTTATTGACGTTTCGTTCCTTTCAGTGATGCGGATGTATACTGCGGCGGCATATCCTTGTTCGGATGCGTCGGCGAAGCCATGAAGCTGCAGCGTGGTCTTATCTGCTCTGGTCCCGAGCCAGCGTTTTATTCGCAACTGATCTAGAAGATGGAGTTCTTCTAGAAGACGTTGCCATTCTCGAGCTTTGGATGGCGGCAGCGGGGTGTCCCAGTCCAATCCTTGCAGCCACGTGGATTGGATGAGAATTTTTGCTCGAATCACGACTGGAGCGAGCCACCCTATTGGATCGAAGAGCCGTGCGGTTTCGGATGAAACCGTTCTCTTCGTGATTGATGGCAGCGTGCGGATGAAACACGAAGGAGAACTGGTCGTGTTGCGGGTGCCAGCGGAGTCCTAGCGTGGCGTGGCTCTCTTCTTCCCAGGCTGGCGGTAATTGCTGCAAAAGATGATTGCTTGGTACTCCAGTCAGGATCCTCTCGTCGTTGGCTGCCCATTTCTTCAACGGAAATCCGCCCGCCAAGCAGAGGTTGCGAATTTCTGTCTGGAGTGCGATCGCATCGTTCAGCGTATTTGAGCCGGTGACCACATCGTCGACGTAACAGTCTCGACGCAGAGCCACGGCGCCACGAGGAAACTGCTCTTCTTCGTCTGTTGCGAGCTGACGGAGTGTCCGTATGGCGAGAAACGGAGCACACGCCAGACCGTAGGTGACCGTTCTCAGCTGGTACTCTCGCACTTCATCATCAGTTGAATGACGCCACAGGATCGTTTGGAATTTGCAGTCATCCGGATGCACGAGTATTTGCCGATACATTTTTTCTATATCATCAACGAAGACATACTGGTGTTGACGCCATCGAAGGAGTACGTCAGGAAGAGCTGGCAGAAGATTTGCTCCAATCATGAGATGTGCATTTAATGAGTCTCCTGTTCGCGTTCGCTGCGACCCATTGAACACGACCCTCAGCTTCGTCGTGGCACTGGACTCCTTGAGTACTCCATGATGTAGTAAGTACGTTGACTGATTGCTAGTTGTGGAGCATGTCACCAGCGTCATATGTTTTAGGTCTTCGTATTCTTTCATGAAGTTGCGATACAGGTTGCCGAATCGACGGTCCTGGACGTATCGCCTCTCCATCGTTGTAAGAAGCCGCTCAGCTGGTTTGCGGGTTTCGCGGAGTGCAGTGATTGGTGAGGAGAATGGCAGCTTCACCACATATCGTCCTGAAGGGGTGCGAGTGTGCGTGTGCACGAAGAATTCCTCGCATTGCTGCTCTTCGACGGAGAGTGTCGTGACTGCGTTGGTCTCCCGTTCCTGTTCCCAAAACTGTTGCACCAGCTCGAGTAGCTCGTGATCGGCAGTGCACTGGAATGTGCGACGGTGCTCTTCTGCGGATGCGACGTCGGAGCCTCCAGAGAGTATCCATCCTAGTGATGTCTTCTGCGCAATTGGCATCTGAGGTCCACCCTTGCGTAGACCTTCTTCAAGAATTAAGGAGCACACCTCCGCTCCCAGGAGTAGCTCGGCTGGATCGTTCTCGTGAAATTGAGGATCCGCCAGTTGAAGTCCTCGAATATGCGGCCAATCTTGTAGTGTGCTGGACGTGGAGCCTTGAAGAAGTGATAGGCGTGGCAATATAAACGCTATCACGGAGAGCCGGGCGTTCGTGATGTCCAAAGTGAGGTGCAGCGTGCCACGCGTTGACCCTGGTCGTGCGCCTCCGATCCCAAAGATGGCCATGTCGGTGCGTGATCGAGGCAGGTTCAATCGTTGCACCAGTGCTTCAGAAACGATCGACACCTCTGATCCCTGGTCGATCAGTGCTCGGACGTCGTGCGGTGCTCCATGGCGATCGGCTATGTTCACCCGAGCAGTGGCGAGAAGCACAGCCTTCTGTTCCTTGGCTTTGTGCAGTGCGGCGAGTGAAGTGGCTTCTGGTGTATGTGCGGTGACCGTGTTGTATGCGTCGTGCAGTAAAGTGTGATGACGTGCCTTGCATGTGTTGCAGTTCTTCTTCGACTGACATTTTGTGAGATAGTGATTTCCGAGGCAGTTGAAACACAGTCTGTGTGTCTCAACGAAGGCCTTTCGATCTGCAGCGGATTTCATCTTGAATTCGCGACACGTCATCAGATGGTGCTTTTCATGGCACAGTGCGCATTGTGGAAGGTTAGTTCCGTGCTTCGCAACATGTGTCTTCGCCGTTCGTGAAGACTCTCCGAAGTTCTTCTTGAGAGTCTTCGGATGCACGGCGTTAAGTGTGAACATCCGTCGCGTCATGAAGTCCAAAAGTGTTTCGTGCTGTGGTAACTTGTTGGAGTCGGATATGGAATTCTCCCATTCCATCCGAGTGTGTGCGTCGAATTGTTCGACGATCAGGTAGTTTAGGAGGTCCATTCCGTGAGATTCAATGGGACGACCTATACTTTCCTGTGCGTTGACGACTGTGACGGCAGCGTTATGGATGCGATGCAGTTCTTCAGCGGTTCCGTTCTTCATTCTCGGCACGGCGATGAATGCGGCGAAGTTGCATCGGATAAGTTCTCTCTCGTTTTCATAGTGTTTGCACAGTATTGTCCATGCACGTTCGTAGTTGTCTCCTGTCACCGGTAATGAGCTTATCAATTTTTCAGCCTGTCCGTTCAAACTCGACCGAAGATGATGCAGGCGTTCGATATTAGAGATGGTGGCGTTATCACCGACGACAGACAGGAAGAGATCTCGGAAGGTTGGCCACTCGGAGTAAGCTCCCGAAAACTGCGGAATCCTGACCCGAGGTAATGCGGTTCGAGGAGCGGCTTCGTTTAACTTGACTGTCTCCGAGGCTGACCGAATGCGTTCAGCGTAGCCGTCCAGGATGCTCCTTTGCTGTACGTACGTATTTTCAGTCAAATCATGGAGTCCTGAAGTAACGTAATCACTTTCCCTAAACTTATCTTTCAGGGCAATGCGCAGCTGATCGTGCTGGATTACGAACTTATCCCAGGCTTGATCGAGAAGTCTGATGCGGGTAGTGACGGCACTGGATGTGATGTTAGGAGCGCCCATCTTCTTCAGGTATTCGACAGAGCGTGAGATTCGAACTTGGATCTCACGCTGACTATCTAATAATATAGCGGCATCCATGATGTGACACTCACTGTATTTCTTTTTCAGGCACTTCACTCTCGTCTTCAAGAACGTTCACACGCGTGCCGGCGCGACGAACTGATAATCCGGCTCGAAGGACCAAAAATATGTTTGCGCGTACGCATGAAGGAGAGCGCGTATTTGAAGGCCGAAAAGAATTGATCACTCTTTAAAAAATAACACAGAGTTTACTTTAACACAGTTTAGCCGATACAGTAATTTTACAAAAGTTCCAGTAGATAAGCCGAGATCGATTTCAAAGTGTGTGTGCGGTTAATAATTGCGGTAATTTCTAAGCGGTTTGACAGCGGTTTGTACGTACTAAGATTCGAGAGACTAGCCCCGCAATTTTGGTGGGCGCTTCTTTTATCGGTGCGGTACTGAAGCCCCACTAATTTTTGCTTCACCAATTAATTTCGTTTGTTTAAAAATGTTCGAAGGTGACGCGAGGGCGCCTGTCTTTATTGGCCGCCCCGTAATTTGCGCAAAACAAGCACGCACCTGACATGCGCGAAACGCTCGATAGCGGGATCGATTGGCTTTCGGAAGCCACGTGATCGAACGGCGCATGTCTATTACATCGAAAATCAATGCGGAAATCGTTGCTTTCGGTTGAGCAATGTTGTTATTATTGACAGCTTGTTAGGATAATCCTGATTTATCGCCTACTTGTTTATATCGAACGAGCCCTTTTTTCCGCGGTTTTTTTTTGCATATTCGTGTAAGAAAATATCGATTTTTAGACTGAAATTATAGACTTAAACAATTATTAATTTTCTTCTCAATTTTGAACACATTATAATTGTTGGCTTCAATTACGGCTGATCATTCGAATTAGTCGTTAAAGAGCCTAATCCCGAACATCAAATTTCTGTAGTTCTTTTTAAATAAACGTCTAATTTTGTAATCCATGATGTAATAATGATATGTAATAAGCTGTAAAATAATTAATGTGTTAGCCTGAATATTGAATATTTGATTTTTAAATAAGTAGTGATCACTTAATCTATGTCGAGACGATAAAAATTCTTTAAAATATTTCTTGTTGAAAAACATTATAAACAATGTATACTTTATAAGAAGCAAACTCAATATCTGTAAATTACAATGTCAGAACGCTGTATATATAGTACCGCCATGCTAAGATGACATTTTTTTTAAAACATCAAAATAAGAACCGTCAAGTCGCTCGGTGTCCTTTTTTAAGTTGATACTGTTTTTTTTCTTCTTTAATGTATATATCATTTCCGATATCAACCTTTTATAATAATTCCTTTCGTGATCCAAGATTTTTGTGTTGTTCTAATTAAAAGTATGTGTAAACTTTACAATATGATCAGAAATCACCGAGTGTCTTGCAGAATCCAATCTGATATTATTTTTATGTTCATTTACTCTTGTGCCTAATTGTCTTTTAGTTTGCCCTACATATGTAGCATCACAATTATTGCATTTTTATATATGACACCCGAATTATTCTGACAATTATCTCTGTCTTTTTGTGTTTTTATGACTCTATTTAATTTTTTCAAACTTCTGTATTTTACTGTTATATTAGATTTCTTTAACTCTGATGCTACTAATTCCGAGATTCTTTCAATGTATGGTATCGCTATAAATTTTTTATTGTTGTCATTATTTATGTCATTGTTATTCGTATTATGAGTCATTTCGGTGTTTAATCTATTAACTATGAGAAACTTCAGTCTTCTATTAATTTCTAAGAAAATGAGATCGAGAGGATAACTATTACTTAATAAAATCTCTATAATTAATGTTAAATTTTTACTGTGAAAAATAGAATGTGATAATAGTAATGATCGGTTGACTAGATTATATATGACACTTTTTTTATGATACATAGGATGATTTGAATAATATGAAAGTGTTCTACCCGAAAATGTTTTTTTCTGAAACCAATCAATGTGAATTATGTTATTTATAATTTTGAGTGAAATGTTTCAAAAAACTTATGCAACGGTTGTCCTCTCGTTCTATTGTAAATTTTAGTCTATCGTGATAATCATTAAATTTTTCAACTAAATATGAGACCTGATCCTCCGGCATGCAAACTAAAATGTCATAGCGATAGTAAAATCTTACATTTGCATTAATTGTATCAAGTATCGTAGTTTTTAAATCTTGCATAACAATATCTGCTATGATTGGAGATCCCATAGGGGTTCCATGAATTTGTTTATAAATAGTATTATTAAATGTAAAGAAAGTTGAAGTTAAAATAAATATAATAGCATTAACAAATTCATTTTTGCCAATTAATGTGTGGTTTTCAATATAATGCCACCTGTTATTTATACTGTCTATTGCAAGGTCCAGAGGTACATTCGTGAACAACGATATTACATCCAATGATACAATTATTTAATTGTTGTTTAATTTAAGATTAGATAATGTGTTACATAATTCAAAACTATTATTTACATGACTATTCGCTTTAGGTAAACTAATCATTAAAATATTGTGTAAATGTGTAGCTAAATGGTGTAATGCTGTGTTAACTGATGAAACTATTAATCTGAATGGAACATTTTCTTTATGAATTTTAGGCAAGCCGTATGCTTTGGGAAGCAGTGAATCACTAGAACTTACAAAATAATATTCTTTTTTAGCGATCCAATCATTTTTCAACCATTGTTTTAAGTTCTTATTTAGATCTTTTTCTATTTTTACTATTGGATTGTTTTTAACTATTGTGTAATTACATTTATCTTTTAATTATTCCTCAACTTTACATACATAAAATTCTTTGGTCATCGCTACGGTCGTATTTTCCTTGTCTGCTTTTGTGAAAATAATATTCGGATTTTGTTGACAGAATTTTATAGTTTTTTTTATACATAAAAGTAAGTTTGTCATGTATCATGTTTGTTTTGGTATTATTATTTAAAAAAACAGAGAACTGTGGAATGGCAATATTCCTTATTTTCGTGAGATTAATTATGTTATTAGAATTACTTTCTATGTCCTTAATGAATTCATGGATAGCTATTTTTTTATCCGTGTTAATTGAAAGACTAAAATCACTGCCTAATTGTAATAAATTTGTGACGTCAGTTAGAATGTCTAAGTCTATCAAGTTAATGAACCATTTATCATTAGTTTGTTCTAGTGGATTGATAGTTTTATTGGTAAATTTCGTTGCGCTAATGTGGTTATTAATATACTTTTTTAAAAAAAGGTAAAAAAAGGCGACAAGTTTACGTGCTCACGTAAAAGTGTTATACAAAAAAACAGTGTTTTTAAATTACTATAAAAAACTGCTCTAAAAAATGTCATTTTAATTTTATACAATATATTTTTATTGTACAAAATGATTAAATATTTCTAAAAAAAATGATATCAAAAATTGCGACAAATAAAAACATTTATATTATAAAATCTTTTATTATGATTATTTTATTAAATATTATTTTATTAAAAATTTTTTTCATAGAAATATTTTACAAACAACAATTAATTAAACATATGACTCATATATTGTAACGCAGCAAATTATATAAAAAGATCAAATGTGACGAATAATTTATGATTGACAATAATATCTTATTTGGATTAAAGAGTATGATAGAAAATATATATCTCATTTGATTATATTGTCAACCATATAATCACTCGTTACATTTGGTCTTTAGAAATATTTTAACCAAAAAAATAGAAAAATTTTTGTTAAAAAAACTTGGCGCTGCTAAATTGCATAATATGTCAATAATGTTAAGGTACTTTGTATATACGTTTATGTTCCAGTTAATTGTTCTATTAATATTCCAGCGTCAAGTTTTTTAACAAAAATTTTTCTATTTTTTTTGTTTAAGTTTTTTTATGGATATCATTCTTTTTTGTAGTATATATTTATCTCTCCCCTTCCTCTCTGTCATACATACATTTATATCCTGCAGTAACACAAGTTGTAGATAGATAGATAAAGAGAAAAAGAGAGCGAGAGAGAAACACAGAGAGAGAGGGGGGAGAGGGAGGGAGAGAGAGGGAGGGTGGAAGGGAGGGAGGGAAGGAGGGAGGGAGGGAGGGAGGGAGGAAAGGAGGAAAGGATGGTGGAAGGGAGAGAGGGAGAGGAAGAGAGAGAGAGAGGGAGAGAGAGAGAGGTCTGATGTGCATATTGATAATTTTTACTATTTATTTTGTGAATTGTTTTTATTAAACCAAATACGAAAATAGATATTTAAAAAATTGAAATTATGTTTTTTAATGTATATATTTATTAATATAAATAACACAAATGTTACATGTAAAGTACACATTAATTGTAATTTTTCACTTATACATACATGTAACTTTTGTATTATAACATAAGTCACATTGTAGTTGTATTGTTATTACATCCCTGTATATATCACTGTAACTCATCGATAGATATTGTAGGATATTGAAAATAATCTTTGGATAAGTTATTGTGTTATCTGGAATATAATTATTATAATATAACTACAATGTAACATATGTTATATTACAAAATATTACTTTTACGAGTGGGAAATTACAGTTAATATGTACTTAATATGTAACATTTACGTTAGTTACATAGCAGTTATGTTATATAGCAGCTATATAAATAAATGTAATCCCAGCAAACACCGATATATAATTGTTACATTGCTATAATAAAACGGAATATAACAGGTAATATAACGTGTACGTTACATGTAACATTCATGTTAATTGTAATTTCCCACTTATAGATGTAACATTTTAATATAACATATATTACATTGTAGTTATATTGTAATTATATACCAAATAGCACATTGATGTATTGATAAGTCAGTGCTATCTTGGGATATAATGACAATATAACTACAATGTAATATATGTAATATTAAAAAATGTTACATCTATGAGTGGGAAATTACAACTAACATATACGTTACATGTAACATGCTTGAGTATATAACATTTATATATTGTGTTTGCTGGGATTAGACCTCTTTCTCTCTTTCTCTCTCTCTCTCTCTCTCTCGCTC